AAGAGCTTCAAATACGCTACAAAACATTCAGAGGTTTTCGGCTTACACTTTTACTCCCCTAGAAGATCCACGCACAGCACACCAGCCAGCGTTTTTTTGCACTGTTCTTTTTCACACATCCTCCTCTTGAATAACACATTTCTATCACATTAACATATCCTCCTCTTTCAATATCATTCACGTCAGATTTATTTTTTAATGCAAAGAAAAACAACTCCCAAACTTTCAGCTCTTTCACATACTGCTTACATTTCTTCGCATCCTAAAGCATTTGCTGTCTTCCTGACAACCTTTTTCTCTCTTAAGAATGCCATACTCTTATCCTACTCTATCTTGTATCGTCTTGACATCGCTTAAGGCAGGTTTTCTGACGCTATTTAATACTATCTATGTAAAAGCTATTCCAGTATCTGTAGAAAAAAATAAAAGGGAAAGTGCCCATTTTGCATGGACATTATATAGCCATGTCATAGATTGCAAAGAGGGAACAAGTCTGAATGCACCTTTCCAAAATAACATTTGCTCAATATTCAAAATCTTTGAGTACCTGAACCTTGTCTTCATTAACAAGCTACTTTAGTTCGGGGTGAGTACTTTGTAACTTAGTTGACTGAAATCTCCCGTGGCATATTTGTCTTTCATAACTCAAGCAACGAGACAGACCGGTACATGGGATAGCTGTTCTGTGCCCTGTCCAACTCCTAGTCCCAGTACCAGAGAACCAGCTCCGCATTCTGACATCCTCCAGTGACAGAGGCTGCCACCCTGCCTTGTCTCCAGAATGAAGAAGGCGACCAGGAAAAAGGGTGCATGGCAGTGAAGAGGCGGCACCAATTACCAGATGCCACTCTGTCCCCTCATCCAGCAACAGCTACCACTGGCTACAGAATCACAGAATGTTCAGGGCTGGAAGGGACCTCTGTGGGTCACCTAGTCCAACCCTCCTGCCCAAGCAGGGTCACATATAGTAGGCAGCACAGGACCTACTCCAGGCGGGCCTTGAATATCTCCAGAGAAGGAGACTCCACAACCTCCCTGGGCAGCCTGTTCCAGTGCTCCGTCACCCTCAGAGGGAAGAAGTTCTTCCTCATGTTCAGATGGCCCCATCCTCCTGACACCCACCCTTCAGATATTTGTAAGTATATATTAGGTCCCCTTGCAGCCTTCTCTTCTTCAGGCTGAACAAGCCCAGCTCCCTCAGCCTCTCCTTGTAGGGGAGATGCTCCAGTCCCCGCACCATCCGCTTAGCCCTCTGCTGGACTCTCTCCAGTAGCTCCTCATTTTTCTTGAACTGGGGAGCCCAGAACTGGACAGAGTACTCCAGATGAGGCCTCACTAGGGCAGTGTGTACGTCAAGTGCTAAAGCTATTTGAAACACACATCTTGTGTAGCAGCTCCGCTTCTCATGGCTCCAGTCACTTCTATTTGGTTTTGAAATTTTGCAATTGCTCCACTGAAAATAGAAAACTGTGCTGTCTGTCACACCATTGGTTGGTGAACCCACACTGTTTTCCATCGTATCAGCCCTTATGACAGGATCTCAGCATTAGCCTCTCTGTTAAACCATTCTGCTGGAATACAAATTGGCTTTTTCTTCTGTTTTTTTCAGAAACCTACTTAATGCCACTAGAATCCATAAGGCAGGCTGGTTCAGAAGGGAGCCCCGTCAAAGTCAGTCACCATTTTCAGAATAACTTTGACAGTGTCTATTAACATCAGGCACACTCTGAGCAGCTTCCATCACTGGATGGTGATGTCATATGAAAGTTTCATTAAAGAAATAATGATGCACAAAAAACCCATTATGAAATTTCAGAATTGCTTACACGGTCCCTTGAAAATATAAAAAGGAACATAACCAGCTAAAAGCAGCTAAATACTTCAAAGCAAAAATCACTACATGTTTTTGTTAATGCAGATTTTAAGACTTCTCGACTATTTACCTGTATCAAAATTTTTTTCATCAAAATTTGTGGCATATTCTGAAATAGGAGAAAAAAAAAGTTATTTGCTTCACCCAAGAAACTGAGAAGGGGCACTGTACTTTTTCTAATGGAAATTGAAACTACACTTGTCACAGTGTGTGATAGACTGTTAAAAGATTTGGGCTTAGCTCCCAAACCATGACTAATCTGTCGTCTCCCACTGCAGGCTGAGAGAGTTGGTATCAGGAGATAACCAGAGATCAGCTAATTGTTATAATCTGTCAGAAGCAGGAATCCTCCACATCAGGAGGCAGAGCCAAGTTCCTATGCAAGTGCCAAAAAAACGGCCTACAGGGGATGGTTGACCCTAAGAAGGTATTTATAATACACCTCTGCAAGCAGCAGCTCATGAAGACGACTGCTCAAGGACCCGAAGGCATGGAGTGTGGGAGTTACAATCAAGTGATAGATCCCTTTGGAATCCAAGTAAAAAGGTCAATGACTTCAATGGTAAAGTTATGCTACGCAGCTTTATTTTGAAGTAATAAAACTGCAGCCTGGGGAGAGAAGAGGGAAACGATGAACATCTCAATTCTCATGAGTGTTTTTTGGTGCACAGTTGGGTCAGCCCACCAGCTCACACACACCCTAAATGCTTTACACACACTTCTCATACTAGAGAGTAAGTCTGCAGTAAAGAGGAAATCATGATTTTCTGGTACTCATCAGCTGATTACCTTCAGTCTACACTATTAAGTCAAAAGAAAGACTCTGTGCCAAGAATTATGAAGCCTAGATTAGGCAGGCAACAGAGCTTAGAAGCCTAACTAACCAGATGATGGATTTCTCTTGAGGCATGGCAGATACCATTTTCTTTTATAAAACTTCTTTGCTTGATGGATTGTTGCTGAAAGGCTCCCCAAGATAAGTGGGTTTAATGATGAACTGTTGATTGTTTCATGTACAGAGGAATGAAGAAGTGCCTTTGAGATGGGGTAGCATGGAAGAATGCATAAAGACCAGAGGGAAGGGAGATGTAATGATCTACCCGACCATTTTTTAAAAAACTTCTTGGTTCTTGGAGACACTATAAACTATGCTCAATATTTAAGCACGCAGTTTTCTTACATTTCATTGATTTTGAACAGTAACCCAGATTTGCTGTTTACTTCCTGACCTTACCAGTATCTCAGGTCCACTGTTTACAACACTTTGAACAAGCAATCTAATGGTTATAAAGCTCCCAAATGGAACACTGTCAACAGAAATTTTATATTTCACCTGAGGAGTCAGTTGTGTTTGGATTTCTGTTCAACAGCAACATTTTTACAACACAGCCCTCGGGCAGGGTCTCACCACACATCAGCTTGGGTCTGTAACAGCATTATTGTGTGTGCTAAGTGCCCTTATGGGAATTGCTATTTTTTAATATCCTGAGTAGGTCACTTTGCAGACTAACCAGCCAGCTCTACTCACATGTTCTCCCAACTGCCAGCCTGCTCCAGGATGAATGCACAAGATTAAACATCTTGTCAAATATTTACCCCCCAAAAATGATAAAAAGACCTCCAAAAACAAAGAAAAAACCCAATGACAACAAGCGATGAGCTGTTTTTGCTGGCTCTAAATACACTTTTAGAAAGCACAGCCCACTATAGGTCTGCAATAACTAAATGCCTAAAGCTCCACAATTATCAAGTTTCAAGCAGTCCTCTGTACGCAGATTCAGCTCCTATCACTACAGCACCCAAGACACAATTACAATAAGAGTTTGAAGCCCTCCAGCAAAGTCAGCCATACTCCACACCATGGGAGCGATTCTTCTTTGCCTCAGGAAGTTTATCTGTGCAGTATCATGCACAGGGCGCTGGCCTTCACAGTTATTCAGCATTAATATTACAGTTGCTTTAGCTGTTCCTCTGAAATCAGATTCCCATTACACAAGACATTGTACAAACAGTTGGTGGGGCAGGATTGTGTCCTACCAACAGAGCCCAAGCAGGAGAAGTTGCAAAGCTGGAGATGCCACTTTCTTTATAACCTTTTTTTTTAAACCCCAAAACTTAAAAGAAACTAACTCACCTGTGAACCTGACCAGAAACACATCTAGAGACCCTTTGCCTGTTCCCACTTCACTTTTTAACATACCATTAATGAGATTTAATAGATCATATAATGGATTTCAGATAGTTCATGCATTGCTCCCACGGCTGAATGAAAGCAGCTGAATACTCCTTTGAATGACAAGCAAACTCAAAATTCATTGCAATATAACAACCATGGAAGAAAGCAGCTTGTTAGTTAGTTATGCCCAGTATTGTTAATTGTTATCTCACACCTAGCAGTACACACACTGTTAACAATCTTGTATAACCTGATGTAACAGAAGCGTTGCATAAGAAAAGATGTGCTAACAGGATGACTAAAGCAGCGTCGGTGCTGAAGGACTCTGGAATGAAGGCTTGAGATATACCAAATGATTTAAAATTTAATGCCTGCTTTTTAGCAGTTAGCATCCCTTTATGTCTCAGCATTAATATTTAATTTTATTTTGTTTAAAAGCAGTACAAACCAACTTGTTTGCTCAATGAAAAGATTACAGCACACTTGTTTTTATTTATTTAGGCGCTGATCTGCTTTGAAGTGGAAAGCCAATGAGGACCTACCTTAAGAGTCTGCAAAAACTTCTCCTGTAGCTGAGCCGTTGACTCGCCGCAGCCACGCTGGGAGGGAATGGAGGGCGTGAGGGGAAGTAGGCCAACGCAGCGGAAAATATCAGGGAAACCATTCCAAATTCTAAGCAAGCGGGCAGAGAAAAACAAAACCAAGAACAGATGTTAGCAACAAAAGACTTCTTTTGGTACCGCACTGTTATCAGCCAGCCTCTGATACATAAATCCCACCCACCACAAGTGCTTTACTGCTCCCGACAACAGAGCTCCATAACTTGAAGAATCCCTTTTTTCCTCCCCAGGCAAGATTTCAAATTGAGATGGAGAATCAATCAGATGGAGAAATAGCAGCAGTCCATTCCAGGGACAGGAGCTGCAGAGCACCAGGCTCACGTATGGGGAACCCAGCAAAGCAAAAGGAAAGCTTTCGCTTTTTCTCTTTAGAGAGAACTGCATTATGAAGATCCGGACACATTTCCTCACAATGGAAGTAACTCAGTGCAGGTAACAGTGTGCTAGAGACTTTAAACAGATGGGACTGGGGAAGCCCCAGGGCATGGAATGACAATTACTCGGCACACAGGATGATGAAGCAAACAAAAGGTCAAGCAAGGCAGCATCTCGGACACAAACACTATTACATGGCAAAAGAATATAAAGAGAAAAGCGTAGGAGCGGCGACGGCTCAGGAATAGAAAAAGCATGGGTAATACGGAGAAAAATAAAAGAATACAGCTGTTTGCAGATGCTTCTCTTGTTCAGCAGCAGGTATTCTCGATCTTTGAAAAGTTTCACAGCAGAAATTTGGACCTGAACTTGCAAAGTGATGAGCACTTCACAGAAAATACTCAGCAAGTCCCTTGATCACTCATCCTGAGGAAAAACAACTCTACCCACAGTCAGTCTAATTAATTTGTTTTACAGGCTGTTTACAATGTATATCATGGTCTCCACAGTCCTCAATCCCAATATTTCTCTTATCCCCTTTAAAAACAAGATTCTTTGCTGCTGGAGAGAAAAATGTATAGCTGAAGTGTGTTATCTTAAAAGAACCTGTGATCTCATAACAAAGAAGTGTTCACCGACACCATAAATAAATTCTAGCAGAGCTAGATACTCAATTGCATTCATTTTCTTTTTTCTTCTCTTTTTTAATAACTCAATATGAACATGGCACTTTGCCAGCTCTTCTGCTAAACCAGAAGAAAATAAATTCAGGAAACTGAAAAGTAAATAACACTCAGAGTCTAAATGGATCAGCTGGAGATGGGGAATGGAAATGAATACTTGTATTCGGTGCATGGCAAGAAAATCTACACTAAATTTCTTTTGAAGGCATACTGGGAATGTGACAATGCCATTCTTCACAATAATTTACTAAAGGATTCATTTTTAATTAAGTGGTGTCTCTTTTCCTGCTGTGGTATAATTGCATGTTTTGAGGGTCATGGGCACTTTTACTAGACCTTTTCACCGTATCTCCTCTGCTCTCCAGAAAACAGATTAATTTCTGCCTTTGTGTATGTTGTTTTTGAGAACGTGAGCAGTGAAAAAAGAACTGGCCGTAAATGATCATCCCAGATCTAAGACAGGGATGAGATGCTTTGTCACTACAGGATGATACTAGACAGGGAAGCCAGGCTCACCAAAAGCTCTTTATCCCCTTCTTCTGCACCTAGGTCTACATATAGGTTTATAGGTATATATATGTACATGCACACACACTTTAATCCTTTAATATTAAAGGAAGATTTCAGACTGTAGACAGGTATAGCCAACCAGAATGTGACCATACAAACCAACAAACTTTGTCCAATGTGCTTATTATTTAACTTCATTACACTGCAATGCCGTAAGTGGGAAGGCTAGGTCTTTTTCGAAAGAATGTAAAACACGTTGATAATTTTCTTATGTCACAGTAATATTTTAGATCAGGTGCCCATCTGGGGCCTCTTCTACAGCTTGCCTCAAGATTCCTGCCAGTCAAATTGCTGCAGTAGGAGCTGTATAGTAACACTTCATTTTTTTTTTAATTATTACTTTCAGCATGCAGTCCTTGTAGTACCTTCTTGCAACTCTTTAATGTTTCCCAGTGTTATACTTCCTAGGCTAACAAATTTGCCTCGTAAGCGTTGCCCTCGTGCACAAAAGAAAAGAGCAGAATTCACTTTGGAAACTAAAGCAGCTCCCTCTATCGAAGAATAAAAGTCTTCAGTGCCATCTTAGCTTCGTCTATCTCTTGCCAAAAGTCCAGGTACTGCCAAACACATCCGATTTCTTACATGCTGCATTCCTTCCTCATTAGGAAACCCACACCTTTATCTTCATCATAATTTCTCTACCAGACTAGATAAAGAAAAATACATTCCCAGGACAAGTTTTAGATCGTAAGTAGGGAGTAAAGGTAAGCAAAATAGCAAAGGTAAGAAATAGGTCAATACTGAGACCGAGGGAGCTGCAGTCACAAAAGAGGAGCTCTTCCACAGGAGCTACGGATGCAGCAAAGCACTCGGAATTTGGCAAGTCAGCATAAATTAGTGTGCAGAAGCACAGCTGTGTATATCTCTTGTTGAGGAGTGCATCTGGAATGCTTCACAAAAGCTGGGTACCTTGCCACAGTGACCTGTGACTGTTAAAGTGGAGAGATGCCTGTATCTTAGCCTATGAAGTAGGCACCCTGCTGCCTGTGTAAGCCCCAAACAGAAAAAAAGAGGTTTACAGAGACACAAACCTCCTTGCTACAAGCTCTTTTTCCTTCAGATAAGCTATTCGTAGCACAAAAATCTATCCAAACCCAGAAACCCTCCTCCACATCTTGTCCTGAAATGTAAAGTGGGAATGGGGGCACTTTACACACACATACACACAGGTATTTTTGAACAAACAATGATTTTACATTGGAAAGCACAAGGCTAAAAGCTCTGACTTCAGTCCAGAATAATTCAAGCTTCCTTATGCGATTCAGGTAATACAATTCAAACCTGATTTTCTACATCTGTACTATTTCAGCTGTGAACCAGAATGTGCAACGACACAGATGACACAGAAAGAGGCTGTGGCAATTCATCTGAGCTCTTAGTCTGCGTTTGAGATAAAGGAAGAGCAATTTATTAAAACACAGAAGAGACTGGAGTTTATAATGGGTTTATAAGCAATTGCTTTGTAATCATGTTGGAGGTTAAGTCCTTGGAAAATTAGCGCTCTCTTGGCATGCTACTGATCCCAAGTTAACAATTCACATCATTACTGTCTTTCAGAAGTCATCACCCAACTTTTGGAGGCTGCTTACCTAACGCAACCTCACACAAAAGCAACAAGCTCCATCACAAACACAACTCTGTTAGGAATGCAGGGTGCTTATGCTACGAAACTGGCTTTCCCATAGTACCTGAAAGGAGAAGTCACACCAAGCCTGACCCCACTTGCTGAAGAGGTAGGGAATTTGGACATTTGGGTCCAGCTCCTTGTTCTGCCACATTCTGTAACACCCTCACTAGTAATCTGTAAAGTCAATCTGAGCTTCATTCTCTGGCCAGCTGATTAAGGGGACAAACAATACACTACCACACCTGTCAGGTAATTTTTGGTCCACAGGTGAACAGAGCTAACCCGAGGCAGTGACCCACCACAAGGCAGCCTTCCTTCCACCGCTGGAGCCTACCTGGTGTAACAGAGCACAGGGAAGCAGACAGCGGGGACCTTGCTCCTTTAGCTCTCCAGGGAAACGGGCCTGAGGTGAGATAGGGCAAATCCCACAAGAGATTCAAAGCAACTTCCTCTTTGACAGTTTCTACCTATGTTAAACCAGTCGGACATTTTGCCACCGTCACTGTGATTCACCACAGGCCAGTAACGTTCAAGAACCAGCTCTTTTTCTTCATCCGAACAGCAAAAATGGTTGTAGCTCCTGAAAAGACACACCCCATATAACACAACTACAGTGGCAGCTGCACACAGAAACCCACCTCTGTTCAAAGTGCTTTCAAATACTAAGTAAGAACTACAGATGCCCCACAAAACACATTTCCTCGGAAGCTGAAGAGCTGCTGTAGGATCATCTTATGCTGGGACCAACGACCCCAAACAGCTCTACAGGATGTTCCCAAACCCTTGCTGGCTCAGAAAGGCAGAAAGAGCCTTGCTGAGATGTGGGGCAGGCGAGACATGCCTCTGAACCTAGCTGGCAAGCAAGATCCATCACACTTTCTGAAGAAAATCCTTAGGAAAACCTCCCTGAAGAGAACAGAGGAGAAAGCGAATCTAATGGGCTGCTGAAAGCAACATTCCTAGTGCTACCAGACTCAAAACAGTGCTTTTAGGCCCAGAACTGTACTTCCTTTTGATGGATGAATTTTTCTCTCTCCATGAAAAATCTGGAGAGGAAAAGATACAGTACTTCTCTAGTTGCTAGATTTTTCCTCCCCTTATCTACTGTTCCTCAGGACAAAAGCTGACTTGCTTTCTTTTTTCATTCTTTCACACTGGACATTTTCATCTGCCATGAGATTTTTGGAGTCTAACATCATATTTCTTTCTGAAAAAGCCCTAACCAACCCAGATTTCCTTGTTCCAATACATTTGAGTCCAGTAAAAAGTAGGTTACTCAAAAATACCTGCTGAAATAGTGATCCAGCTTCTACTATGCTTTCTTTAAAACAAACAATAATGTGGCACTCACCCAACCAGGAGTCATTAACTCAACAAAATTTCCGTAAGAATAACATCCAGGAATAAGTGATCACAAACAGCTAACTCAATCCCATAAACCTGCATATAAACTACACAGTATATATATACTATGAGACTTCTGAAACACTTAGGGCTAAGTCCTGGCTGAATTTCGATGGCTGCAAATATAAGGGGGGGAACCCAACTAAATGTGCAACTGCTGTGATGTGGTAATGTTCAGCTCCTCTTAATGCTATACCAATTTCTATCCACAGAGAATCAGATCCTGGGCTCTTAAGTCACTTAAGCAACTCTTTTTCTTTAAAGCTTGCTGCTAATTTTTCTAAGTGACACAAAGGGCTGTAGAAGCCATTGCAGGAAAAATAGCAAGGACATAAAATCTAAGTTATATCAGGTGAAATTTATATCAGTGTTTTTTTTCCACTAAACTGTTGTCACTTCATTGAAATTACTCACCATGTAAGAATTATGTGGTTTTAACTACAAACAAAATCTGCTGAGTTTCAATTTCAATGTTAGACTCTTAAGTACTAATAATCTAATCATATTTGAAAAGCATATGCAAGTCATAAATTAAGGCTGATTTAATGCAGGGAAGAATTTAATGCTGAAAGATTCTTGGATTTCCATCCTCACACAAACAACAGAAAAAACCCAACCTGTCATGGGCACGTTTTTTAGTGAAAATTCAAGAAGCAAAAACCAGTTCAGAAGCTCAGGGAAAGTGTAAACTCTCCTAAGATTAGCTGATACAAAAACTGAAATACCTCATTTGGAATCAGTCTGTACAAAAGGCTATTTTTACAT